TTTTTTGTCTAATTCTCACATTATGCCACATGGAAAACAGACCCATGTCCATACTTTTAATCTGTAGCAAAGCTATGGATAGATTCAGCCCTAAATTAAAGTTTCCCCCACAATCCAGAATGTGACAATTAATAAAATGATAGATATCATAGAAAATAGTGAATTAAATTTAGGACTGAAACAAATGGAAGGAGGGTTTTGTTTGTTCTACTTAAAAAAAAAAATTTATATGACACATAGTTCAAAATGTTTACCACTAGTTCTAATTTAGTTATGGGGAGTAAAAGACTAACAAGTATGCCTAAATTCCATCCTGGAAGCCAAGGGCTGAAGAACATTACAGCCAAGCATTGTTTTGGCACCAGTCATAAATTTTACCAAGAACATTCTCAAGAAATGGCATGAATCTACTCCACAATAATGAATGAATCAGTTTGAATAGGGTTATGAAAGTAAAAGTTTTACACAGAAAAATAATAGATGCTATAAGTGGCCTCCAAGATCACAAGTTGTTCTAAATTATCTCATACCTTGTAAAGAACTCATAATTTACTATTAACTTAAGCAGGACTAACATTAGAAAGATGTTCATAATACAGTGTTACCAACAGAAAGTGGAAAAAGCATAATTAGTCCCAAGAAAGCACTCTACTGATATGGAGAGATGATATATTTTTAANAAGTTAAGTAAAGTCTAAGATGATACATAGCAAAACAGAGGTTATCCTTGAGTGACAGGGTCATAAGTAATTTTTCTTCTTTTTGCTTACTCTTATTTTTTAATAATGCATTACTTCTTTTTAAAATAAAATATTAGAGATGCTTTTGAAAAAAATAAGCAAATGGGCAGTAATTTTCCTGAAGGCTTTCACTTACAGAAGTTTCTTTTCATCTTTCTGCTCATCAGAGCTAAGTGAAGAAAATGGGTTCTGAGACAATCCAAAGCCCCTATTCTTGTTAGTTGAAGTTTCAGAATCAAAAGAACTGAAAGATGGCTTTTCTTGATCTCTGCTGCCCCCCCATGGTGTGGATTTGGAGAAAGTGGCTGGCTGGATGACACTGGAGTACCTCTGGCTGGTGGTATTCCATCCACGTCTGTTACTACCTAAAATAAACAATAAAAGAACAATTTTACTAGCAACTTCTCTTCTAAATTTTTAAAATCTTCATTATGTCTTATTATGTCTAGATATTATACAAAGATTCAACAAACACTACATTTCCACTCGTTTTAAATGACAGTCTCTTCATTTTTGATTTATATAGTTAGATGTTATATCAACAAATCACATAACAGTCTAATTGCATTTTTGTTTAATGAGATTGAGAGAACTGTAAATCCATAGGAAAATAGTGATATATGACTAAATTCGGTTGACATAAGCTTTTTAAATAAACAATTGCTTGATAGCAGAGTGGACAGTGGGCTCGCATCGTAAGCCCCTTCAAGATAAAAAGCTCTGTTTTTAATCATTCTTTGGTCCCTCACTGGGCCCTATGTAGTAGCAAAGGCTGAAAAATGGATAATGAATTAAAGAGGATGATGAATAAACTGGACAATGAATAAGAGATTATATCATGTGTCCCAGTCTTCCCTCTAGGAAAATAACACCTACACACCTATCTTTCATAGGGAGATAATAGAGGTAATTTACTGTATATGTGACTAAAGTACACTGAGTTCCTCTATGAGTAGACTTCTAATATTTCATAAATATCAAAACAAGCCAATAGGAATTTCTCCTCCCTCTGTCTATATTGTCTAATCTTATCACTCGACAATCTCATTTACTCATCACTTCCTAGTTGGGGCCAAGGTCAAGGTAATTCATCTTGTTCTTGACTGAATTAGAGCTATACCATTCAAAATACTAAAAACTGGAATGATGGGAGGTATGCCCAGTTATGAAAGTCCATCCCCCAACTCTAAACTACTTGATAAATCCAAAGAGAAAAGGGAGGAGAGTGCTGGACCAGATCCCTCAAGTAGGACTTAATGGTACCTTACTTTTCTAAAGTTCCAAATCCTTACACAACTGAAGAAATTCTCTTCCTCCTTTTCAATGTTGCTTTTGGCTTCATACTTACAATTCCAGAAGCTGGGAGTTTAATACACCAGTTATCTGCTGAATTTTATTCACACATTTTTTTCATCCATCAGCCTATCTATTCAACATTTATTTTCTGATTACTGCAGTTACAGCAAGTCATCCCAGAATGTCAAATATGAACGTTCTATTGTCCTGGGAAATATACTCACATTTATAAGATCCCGAGTCCTAATTTTTGGTTTGGAATATTTCAATGAACCACTTGTGGATGAAAGAAAAACACTGTCATCAAGAAGAGGGATCAAATATAAAACCACCATGCAGCACAAGGTTTAAGGGTCATAGGAACAGCCGGGGCTGGCCGGTTGGCTCAACTG